GGTTACAAATATTTACAACAGATTTACAGACTAATTCACTTACATACTATACTTATATCTATCTTAACCTATCTCCTTAATATCCTAACCTAACCTAAAAACAACCTAATGCACACACACGCTTCTGTTCTACCCTATACCTATCTTCGGACCTTCGCTTTCGAGCATCTTCATTCTCTCCTATTCTTAATCATTCCCACTTACATTCACACCTCTATTCATTTTTCCTCTTCCCCCTCTCTATCTCCGATCTTTATCCCTCTAAACTCTTCCAGTTTTCTCAGCCAGTGCTTCCTTCTCCCATCTTCTCCCAGCACCACTTTTATTATTTTCTCCCAGTTTCCACTCGCTCCCCATCTTCCACACTCTTCCCATACGTGTTTTCACTCTTCCACCTCATTTCTACAGACTCTGCAAGTTCTTTCTTCTTCCTTCTCCCAATATCTTCCACCTTTTATTTCATTTTCTAATCTGAACCTTGCCATCTTTTTTTACCCCATCCTGTCCTCAAATACTCCGGTATTCTCTCCCTTTTAACTTCCCTATACCATCTATTATATCGAGACTCTTTTATCCTTTTCCATCTTTCCTCTCTTTGTAATACTTTTTCCCTTTCCACCATGTGCTGTTCTCTCCATTCTCCTTTTTCTTTGAACTTCCTCATTTCCTTTACACTCATTTCTCTTTCTTCATAATGTTCTATTCTTTCTCTTTCCCAGTCTGAAATCTTTCCCTCTTCCATTTCCCTGTTTTTACTCTCCATCAAGCATTTCCTTGCTATCTCACTTCTTTCCCCTTTCTCCAGTGTTTGTCTTTCTTCAAAATTTCTTGCTCTTTGTTCCGCTTTTCCTTTCAACATATCTCTCTGTGATTCTTCTCTTACTATGTATCCAGGCGTACTCCAGTTTACTCCCAATATCCATCTTATGTATCTGTCCTGTATGCTCTCTATTTTTCCTTGTTCTTTCCAACCCCATACTTCCAATCCATATCCTATCACTGACCATACTAAGGCGTCGAATAACCATATTCTTTTCCCCCAGTCCCTGTCAAATTTTCTTTTCCCAATTCCCCATATCTGCCCCATTATTCCTGCCCCTTTCCTTACTCTATCCTTAATATGTGCATCCCTCCCTCTATTCTTCTGAAACACAAACCCTTAATATTTGAATTCTTTCATTTCTTCTATTTTTTTTCTTCTCCACCACCACTCCATTTTCTTCTACCTTCCTCCTTCTTTTTGAATCTCATCATCTTTGACTTTTCCACATTTAGTTCCAACTCCTATTCCCTCACATATCTTTCCAGACCTCTCAACATTCCTCTCATTCCTTCCTTTTTTTCCGCCAGCATTACCACGTCATCCGCATACGCTAGCCTAAAAATCCTTCCACCCTTACACCCCCCACCCTCCCTTTATCATATACTCTTCCAGGTCTGCTGTCATTAAATTAAAAAGGTCTGAACTCATCGGACAACCCTGCTTTACTTCTCTTCCCGTCCAAAACTTTTTGCCCATTACTCCTCTCACTCTCACTCTATTCTTTGTTTCTCTATACAGGTCTCCACATCTTCTTATCAGATTCTCACTCACTCCTCTTTTCCTCATCGCCTCTAAGAGCATTCTCCTATCCACCGAGTCGAAGGCCGCTTTCAAGTCTACGAAGAATGCAATCACTTTCCCTCCTTTTCTATATATATTCCTGCTCACTATATAATTTATAATATATATGTTCTCCATCACCCCTCTTCCCTTTCTAAATCCTGTTTGGTTTTCCGGCACCATCCTCTTCTCTTATACCTCTTCCCTTACTCTCCCTGCCANAACTTCTGNGTATATCTTATATAAAGTGGACGTCAATGTCACTCCTCTATAGTCTTCCACTTTACTTCCTTCTCCTTTCTTGAGAACTAGCACTATTATTCCTTCGTATCAGTCCTTTATCCATTTTTCCTCTTTCCATATTCTCCCACACATTCTCTATACCCAGTCCTGTATCCCAACTCCTCCAAACTTCCACACTTCCGCCGGGATTCCATCCTTCCCGCTGCTTTTTCTACCTTTATCTTTTTCATCACCTTCACACTTTCTTCTCTTTCTATCTTTCGTTCTTTATCTAACTCTCCTCCTCCTTCACCTTGCATCACTCTCCATTCCACCCTTCCTAGTAACTTCTTAAAGTATCCGTCCCATTCTTCTATCTCAATCCGGTCGTGATCTCCCCAACGTTTCTTTTTTCTTTCTCTATTCACTATCTTCCATATTTCTTTTTCAGTCCTCTCTTTTCTTGCCTTCTCTACCCATCTTTTGTTCTCCTCCTCTCTTTTCCTTTCACACAATTCCTTATAACTTCTTTTCTCTTCCTTATATCCCTTTTTGTCTCCTCTTTCTCTTCTCCACTTTTGTAGCTTTGTTCTAACTTTGCTCTTTTTATCTCTACACTCGTTATCCCACCAATCCCTTTTGCTCTTTACTTCTATCTCTTCCTTCTTCCGCCCTGAATCAATCTCAATCTTTTTCTTCATTTTTTTCCACTCCTTTTCCACTTCCCTTTGCTCATACCCACTATCCTCTTGTAAGTCCGCCTCTAATAAGTTCCCTTTCTCCTCTGACTACAATTTTTCCTTTTTGCAATTTGTTGACTTTTCCTTTCTTTTTCCCTCCTTCCTCTTTTATCCATACTACCACCGGGTGGTGATCCAACTCCATTTTATCTTCCACAATCAACTTATCAACTCCGTTCCACGCTCTTATTCTTTTTATAACATAGTCTATAATCGACTTTCCTCTTTCTCCAGTGTACGTCCTTTCTCCTT